CTGAAGCCACGAGCAACGTAGTGTGCCTTGAAGACAGGCGGCTCTCCAGGAGGGCGCTTCACCTTGAAGTGCCACCAGCCATCGACTACGTTCACCCCAGATGGGGGAACTGCGTCGACAAAGGTACCGGTGGATCTCCAAGATGCCATCTCCTGCTCCATGGCAGCTATCCACTGAGAGGCCCAGGTCCCGAGGTGGCCTCAGCATAGGTGCGAGGGGTCGGGATGTCAAGGGCTTCTGGGTTACCCTCAGGGACTAGAAGCATGGAACTGAGATGGGGAGCGTCCTCTGACAAGAAAGCAAGCTCATACTGTCTGTCCTCTAGGGCGTCACTGCCAAGGGCAGCCACACCCCCAATGGACGGAGGGCAGGTAGGGTCAGAGACCAGAGCGGTGGCGTATTCAAGGCGGCGGGTAGCGGCAAAGTCAGTGACTGCAGCAACAAGAGCCGGCAAACTCGAGGCAAAAACGGACAAGTCGGTAACAAGAGAGGGAAAGGCACGAGGAACAAGGGGATGCGCGGCACGGAGGAAGTCAGGAAACGGAGGTGGGGCCACAACGAGCGACGATGGAAGAGGAGACGGGAGGAGCGGAGGAGCACGAGACGCGTAGGAGCAACGCAACATAGGGTGAGAACGCGGAACAGGGGAGGTAGGACGAGCACAAGACGGACGATGAGCCCAGACTTGAGATGGAGGATTCGGGTCAGGAGAGAGGAGAGGAGGCACACGAATAGAACGAGGAGGAAAACGAGCCGGAGAAGAGTCCACGGGAGGAAACACAGGGCCAAAAATAGGCAGAGGAGGAGGCGGCGGCGACCGAGGAGGCGAAGAGCGGACACCGTTGGCGACTGCGACGATTGCTACCCGACGCCAACACCAGAACCTCCAGCAGGACCACGGCTCCCTCCGTAAAGCCCGACGCCAGCACCCCCAGAACGGGAACTCGCTCTAGTACCCACTCCTGCACGCTCCCCAGCACCCCTAGAATACACAATTCTCAGCGGCGGTGGCGACGGCGGCTCCGGCTGCGGCGGCGACGGCAGCTGCGGCTGTCACAGCAACGGCAGCAACTAGGGAGGAGAGACCGGGGCAGGGACAGGCGGTGGAAGGGACTCCGCCGAGGCGCGAGAGTCAGCAGACCCCTTGACAGAGACAACTGACGGGAGGGGGGTGACATGAGACACACCAGACGGGGAAGGGCGGGGAGGGGGGGGAACAGGGGCGACCGGGGGAGGGGGGAGAACCAAGAACTGTGGGGGAGTGACCGGGGGACCACGGTGGGGAAAGCGGTGATAGGAGGTAGAATCGTCAAAGGTGACATCACGAGAGTGAAAAAAGCGGTGAGATGGCGAGTGGTAGAAGTGTCAGTCAGACGAGTCGAGGGGGAAACCTAGAAAGACACAGAGGACGGTGCAGGCAGTGAGCTTGTCCATGCCAGAGGCATGAACGTGAGCATGGCAGCCCCAGACGTGGAACGCAGATGTGGCACCAGGAGACCCGGTCTAGAGGAGGGCCAGTGAAACCTGCGGCCGCTGAGGGTGCGGCCACAGGTTAAGCTGGTGGGCGGCGTAGCGAACAGCGAACGGCCACAAAAAATGGGGTGCGCCGGCATGGATCATAAAGGTACGAGCCACCTTTATGACCAAACCGATGCGTCGCTCGGCGAACCCATTCTGCTGCGGGGAGTCCAGCAGGGTGTACGTCTGGGTGATGCCCTCGGTGCACACGCGTAGTGACAAGCCAGGGGATAAGAACATCGGTCCTGTCGGCCCTGCTCCAGGGGAAACACGGTGGTGTAGCGAGTGTAGTCGTCGACAAGCACTAGGAAGTAACGCTCACGACGTGGCCCATGGACGGGGGCGGGGCCCCAGACGTCCATGTGCAGGGTCTGTAATGGTGCAGTGGTGGGGGGGAACGAGGAGGAGTGAGCCGACCCTCTATGCAGGGGGTGCACGGAGGCGCTGCTGAGGAGGGGAGCGCAGGGAAGGACGCAGGGAGACCTAGGACAAGATCGTGCTGAGACATGTGACGGAGACGGGTCAGAGCGTGGTGCCCTAGACAGTGGTGTCACAGAAGGGGCGGGTGAGTAAGCAACCGACACGAGCAAGCCGCAGCAACCTGGGTTGACGCTGCCACCTGGGGGGGCATCCCAACCGGGGGGGACGCGGTGTCCAGCGTGAACAGGCCTGACTCTGGGTCCAAGGGGAACGTGGTAAGTGGGGCACCAATGGCGGCCTCGGTACAGACAGGATAACTCTCGTGACCAGGGAACATAGTGGTGACGCCGAGGTCCTGAAGACAACGGACACCAACTAGATTCCGAGAAAACGAGGGGATGTGCAGTCCTGTAAGAGAGCCTGAATGAGCTGCCGGACAAGGGAGAGTGGTGGAACTACGGGCGACTACCGGACCTGAGGAAGGGTCTGCAAGGGTAACTGCGGCTGGGACGGCGAGTGACGTAAGCGTAGTGTGGTCCCGAAAGAAACTCCGAGACGCGCCCGAGTCGGGAGTGAAGGAGAGCACTGCAGTGGCGGCTGGCGGCGGAGGAGCTAGGGTGGAGCCAAGGCTAAACACAACAGAGGGACATATGCCTGACGCAACACGGGAGCCTAAACTAGGCACACTGGAGAGACCTACACTAGGCAACACGAAGTAATAGGAACCAGTCACACTAGAGTCATCGACATATAGCACATACAAGGCAGGGCTAATCTCGTCCATGTCTATATAAAAAATCCTAACACCACGGCGGAGCAAACTGTGCCAGTCGGGGAGGTCAGGCGTGGGGCCGAAGCGGAGACGAAACAGGTTGTCCAGGTGACTGAAACAGCGAGTGGGGGTATGACCGGTCTTACCGCACACGAGGCCACGACGAGGACCGGTTTGGAGCTGTTACTGGTAGCACCCGTCACTCACACCACCACCCGACGCCGAGCTACGCGCACGACCACCGCGACCACTACCAGCACCACCACCAGTGCCAGGCCACCCAGGCGGGAGGCGGCCGACCCTCCGCTGTGACTGCTGCTACTGCTGCTGCTGCTGCTGCAACGGCTGCTGCTACTGCTTGTCAAGTTGTGGCGTCTGCTACTGCTCGCGCTGGGGCTGCTGCTCAGAGGCACCAGCCCCAGCCCCCTCGTCGGTACTACCGCCAGGGGATGAACCACCTCCACCACCACCTCTACCCCCTCCTCCACTACCACCACTGCGCCCAGCCTTGGGGCATTGGGCCTTACCATAACGGGACTGCACTACGGCCACCGCGGCAGCGGTCTCAGCAGCAGGGGCTGTCGCAGTGACACCCGCAGAACCGTCAGAGTAAGTGCACTAAGCAGGAGCATAACCCTGAATGATAGGGACCCGGCAGTACCGCTAGACTGGGCAATAGAGCGTTGACGGGTCTCTATGGCAGACAGGGTGTCGACAAAGTCGGAGAGGGTAAGGTCAGCAGGGTGCAGACTAAGAAAGTGGTCGCGAGCAGTGGCAAGGCGGTCGGGGAGGCGGGTGGCAAGCAGGTAAAGGGTAGAGCAGATAGGGGGCTAGAACACATGAAACTGGGCCTCAGTGCAGGCAGCACGCCAGCTAGCGTCGAGCGTGCGCAGGTGCGTGGCCAGGTCAGCGACAGTGAGGAAAGACACGAGATCAGGGAAGAGCATGGGAAGGATCAGTCGGCCGATAGAGGCAGAGGACGGGGTGGAATAACGCGCGATAACGGCCTCTAGGAACTCCTGCGCAGTCCTTACCGATTTAAAGCGAGGGTGCTCTGACAGGGGGAGGGCATGGCTAATCGCGAGCTGAGCGACAGCGTCATGCGACAGCCAGACAGCACGGGCAAGGGCAGCAACGGCGGCGGACTCACGGTCAGCAAACGTGGGGTCGGCGGGGAGAGCAATAGGGGGGTCAGGGCAGGAGAGCGTACCGTCAATGTGGACGGCCAGGGAGTGGCCGTCCTGCTACTGAACAGTGAGGTGACGGCGGAGAGTGACGAGCCATGAGTCGAACTCAATCGGCTGACCCTCCACGTCAAAGCGTAGCACCGAGTCCGCCATAAAGGCCGCTGCAGCCGCGAACAGACGGTGACGGAGCGACGAGGAGCAGTGGGAAGGAGTGCTGTACGGTAGAGTGCGGTGGAGTGCGGTGGGGTGCTGTGCAGTACGGTGCCACACGGTGCAGAGCAGTGCAGTGCGGTGGGGCGCGGTGCAGTGCGGTGCAATGAGGTGGGGCGCGGTGCAGTGCGGTGCTGGGCAGTGCAGCACGGTGGGGCGCGGTGCAGGACGGTGGAGAGGGCAAGTGAAACGGGCGGGGACCGGGAACCACGACGGCTGAGCAGCTGGGAGACGGGGCCGCGGGGCGGCTGGGCGACGGGGCCGCGGAGCAGGTGGGAGACGGGGTCGCGGACGGCTGGGCGACGGGGCCGCAAGGCGGCTAGGCGACGGGGCCGCGGAGCAGTGGGGCGACGGGTCGCGGGGCGGCTGGGCAACGGGGCCGCGGAGCAGCTGGGACGACGGGGCCGCGGGGCGGCTAGACGACGGGGCCGCGGGGCGGCTAGACGACGAGGCCGCGGGGCGGCTGGGCTACGGGGCCACGGGGCGGCTAAGCGACGCGGCGGCTAGGCCACGGGGCGGCTAGGCCACGGGGCGGCTAGGCAACGGGGCGGCAGGGCCACGGGCGGTTGGGCGCTAGGTGACGGGGCTGTAGGGGGCTAGGCGCTAGGTGACGGGGCCGCGGGGCCAGCGGGGCGGCTAGGCGCTAGGTGGCGGGGCAACGGGGCCACGGGCGGCTAGGAGCTAGGGGGCGGGACCGCGGGGGCTATGCGCTAGGTGATGGGGCCGCGGGGCCACGGGTGGCTAGGCACTAGGGAACAGGGCCGTGGGGCCAGCAAGGCAACGGGGCAGCGGGGCCCGTGGGGCGGCTAGGAGCTAGGCGACGGGGCAGGTTAGGACCTAAGGAGCTAAGGGGGGACCTAACCTGCTCTGATACCATCTCAGAGTTAGAAAGATTAACTAGATTGAGAGTATACAGGGGTATATAGCTAGTGGGTTGTAACTTGTACTGTCTATGGCAAGACCCTATGTAGTCTACTAAACATACACAAATATGTTTGACAGCTGCCCCCTCCCCATTGCCTCCCTCCCCATCACACCCACCCGCAGGTTGACCTGCCACATGCTCCCCACTGCCCACACTCCCACCTCCTGTGCTCTAAGCACCCGTAGCAGGGGTTGCCAGGGTGGCAGTGTGAGTGGCAGCACCAGCGGCAGCGGGAGCAGCGGCAGCAGTGGCAGCGTTAGAAGTGAAGTCAGCGTAAGCAGCAGTAGTGACAGGAGCAGAATCAGCATCAGTAGCAGCCCCAGTAGCAGCATCAGTGGCAGCGGCTGTAGCAGCATCAGTAGCAGTGGCGGTAGCAGTATCAGTAGCAGAGGCTGTAGCAGCATCAGTAGCAGTGGCAGTAGCGGTATCAGTAGCGGCAGTTGTAGCAGCATCACTGGCCGTAGCAGCATCAGCATCCAAAGCAGCAGCGGTAGCAGGACCAGTAGCATCATCGGCAGTAGTTGTGGCATCAGTAGCATGAGTAAGAGCACTGCTAGCAGCCTCTGTGCCAGAAGCAGCGTCACGAGCAGCATCATGACTGGTAACAGCGTCGCGAGCAGCATCAGGGGTAGTGGCGTCGCTAGCAGCATCAGGAATGCTAGAGGCGTCACCAGCAGCATTCTGCAAAACCGCAGCTTCTTCTAAATTTGCACTGCACACGCCACTGCCACCCGTCACACTGCATGTGTCCTGCTCCCCCTCCTGCCTGCTCACTCCTCCTCTCCCACCCTCCTCACTCACACTGTCCCTTCCTCCCTCACCCCCACTCTCCATTTCCCCTTCCTCACTTCCAGCCTTCCCATTCCCACCCTCCTCCATCTCCTCTATTCCCTTTCCCTCGTCCGGGGATTCAAGAGCAGGTGGATCACCAAGAGGCATGCCGTCAGCAGGCAGGTCAGCAGTGCGAGGGAGGTCAGTGGGAGATGGGACAGCAGCGGGAGATCGAGGAACAACAGCTGAAGCAGGTTCACTGCTCCTTGTAGATTCCCCCACACCCACATCACCACTCCCTCCTCTTGTTCCGCCTCCTGCTACTTCCTCTCGTGCTCCTCCCCCTCTTTCCCCTTTCCTTGGTCCTGCACCTGCCCCTCCTCTTTCTCCTCCCCTCCCTGGTACCCCCCTTGCTCCCCCTCTTTGCCCTCCCCTTTCGCCAGCCCTCACTTTCCCGCGTGCCATGGCCCCCTGCTTGCCTCCCCTTTTCCCTTTCCCTGTTGGAACTCTCGCCCCTGCCCCTCTTCTCACCCCTCTTTGCACTGACCCCTCTCCTCGTGCCCCTCCTTTCACCCCTCCTCCCGCCCCTTCCCGTGCTGCTCGTCCTGCCTCTGTTCGTTTCTCTCCACCTCCTCCCTCCAACCCACTTCCCTCTCTCCCTCCTCCTTGCGCCACCCCTTCTGCCTGACCCACTGTCTGCCCCCCTTCCCTTGCCTGCACCCCTCTTTCCTCCCCCGCTCCTGATGACAGCACCTGTTCCGTTGAGCCCCCACCCTCCCCATGCTCTTGCTGCTGGTTTTGACGCGCCTCAGCACCTGTCTCCCCTGCGCCTGATGCCAGCACGTGTTCCGTAGAGCCCCCAACCTTCCCATGCTCCTGCTGTCGGCCTGCCAGTGACTTGGTTGGTGCTTGAGGCGTCTCATAAGAGGAGTTTGGCTGGGATGGGTTTATAGGAGGAGAGAGAGAGGAGGCGGAGGAGGAGGGGGAGGAGGGGGATGGGGAGGGGAAAGTGGTGGAAATGGGTGGGGAAGGGGAGGGCATGGGAGAGGGGGCGGGAGGAGGGAGAGGAGGTAGGGGAGAAGGTGGGGGGGAGAGGAGGGGTTGGATTGTGTGGTGGAGGGAGGAGAGAGAGGAGGAGGCAAGGGAGAGATACGAGGAGGAGAGAGAGGCGAGGGTGGGGAGGAAGGAGGAGGCAAGAGCGGTGAGGAGGGATGAGAAGAGGGAGAGTATGGGGGAGAGGAGAGAGTGTGTGGTGGAGAGGAGGAGGGAGGAGGAGGAGAGGAGGAGGGAGGAGGAGGAGAGGAGGAGGGAGTTGAGGAGGGGAACGCGGGAGATGACGATGAAGCAGCAGACGAGGACGAAGAAGAGAGAACCGATGACGATGATGAGTCTGGTGCGTTGAACGAAAAGGGGGGGAGGGAGAGAGGGGGGGGGGGGAGAACAGAAGCAGAAACGAGGACATGGTTGAAGGGGGGACGTGAGAGATGGCGATGCAGGAGCAGGCAAGGAGAAAGAAGGGAGATCCAAAAGCACGGATGATTCTGTGGGTTGAACAGGAGGTGCGGGCAGAAGCGGAAACGGTGGCAGGGTTGGGTGGAGGAGGGGAACGTGTTGGGTGGAGGAGGGGAACGTGTTGGGTGGAAGAGGGGAACGTGTTGGGTGGAGGAGGGGAACGTGTTGGGTGGAGGAGGGGAACGTGTTGGGTGGAAGAGGGGAACGTGTTGGGTGGAGGAGGGGAACGTGTTGGGTGGCCGAGAAGCAGCAGCCGAGGAGGACGAAGAGACAACCGATGATGATGAGAAGAATGGCGGGTGCAGCATTGGGCGGGGGGGGGGAGATGGAGGACGAATCAAGCTAATGGAGGGAAAATCAAAGGGGGGGAGATGACCAAGAAGCAGCAGACGAGGAGGACGAAGAGAGAAGTGATAATTATGATGAGGCTGGTGGGAGTGAGAGGTGGAGTGGTATGGAAGGGCGAGGGCACGGAAAGGCAGCCAGCAATTTCCCTCAGTCCACCCCATCCCACCCTCTCCACCACACCCCTCTCCTCCTCTACCCCTCTTCACCTGTCCGTCACATCTCCTCTCTTCAGCAGCGCCAGCAGCTGGTGCGCCGTGGACAGGTGGGAGTGCTGCAGGGAATGCTGTGAGCCTATCTCCCTCTCACCTGTCTGTATCCACTCCCCCCAATCTCTCTGTAGTTGCCTCTCACCAGTTCGTCACATCCCCCCTGCGCGGCAGCACCAGCAGCTGGTGCGCTGCGGAGACGAGAGGGACTGCTACCCCTTAATCGCCCTCGCTCCTGTGTCACTCCCCCTGTGTCTTTCTCCTCCATTCCCCCCTCCCTCACACACACCTGTCCGTCCCATCCCCCTTGGCAGCGGTGCCAGCTGTCGATGTGCCGTGGAGAGACGGGAGTGACTGCTACCCCACAATCCCTCCATTCCTCTCTACCGCTCTTCACCTGTCCGTCACATCTCCTCTCTTCACCTGTACATCACATCTCCTCTCTTCACCTGTCCGTCACATCTCCTCTCTTCACCTGTCCGTCACATCTCCGCTCTTCGCCTGTCCGTCACATCTCCGCTCTTCACCTGTCCGTCACATCTTCTCTCTTCGCCTGTCCGTCACATCTCCTCTCTTCACCTGTCCGTCACATCTCCTCTCTTCACCTGTCCGTCACATCTCCTCTCTTCACCTGTCCGTCACATCTCCTCTCTTCACCTGTCCGTCACATCTCCGCTCTTCGCCTGTCCGTCACATCTCCGCTCTTCACCTGTCCGTCACATCTTCTCTCTTCGCCTGTCCGTCACATCTCCTCTCTTCACCTGTCCGTCACATCTCCTCTCTTCACCTGTCCGTCACATCTCCTCTCTTCACCTGTCCGTCACATCTCCTCTCTTCACCTGTCCGTCACATCTCCGCTCTTCGCCTGTCCGTCACATCTCCGCTCTTCACCTGTCCGTCACATCTTCTCTCTTCACCTGTCCGTCACATCTCCTCTCTTCACCTGTCCGTCACATCTCCTCTCTTCACCTGTCCGTCACATCTTCTCTCTTCACCTGTCCGTCACATCTCCTCTCTTCACCTGTCCGTCACATCTCCTCTCTTCACCTGTCCGTCACATCTTCTCTCTTCACCTGTCCGTCACATCTCCTCTCTTCACCTGTCCATCACATCTCCTCTCTTCACCTGTCCGTCACATCTTCTCTCTTCACCTGTCCGTCACATCTCCTCTCTTCACCTGTCCGTCACATCTCCTCTCTTCAGCAGCGCCAGCAGTCGGTGCGCCGTGGAAAGCCGGGAGTGCTGCAGGGAATGCTGTGAGCCTGCTGACGTCAGCACCGTTGCTGACGTGTCTGGCTTGGCGGGAAGTGAGGGGCAATGGGTAGACGGATAGAGAGGAGGGGAGAATGAAATGCCGGCAAGTAAAGGGGCAGATACAAGGAGCGCGGTGACCCAGGGAAGCGGGGGGAGAGGGCAGCGGAAAATGCAGAAGGGGCAACACAGAAGGAGCGACAGAGCGAGGAGGAGAGAATGAGAGGGCGAGGGGGAGGAGGGTGGGTGGAAAGGGACACATGCAGGTCACACAGGCATCCAGGTGCATGGGCGACGATGCATGGCATGACATCTACCCACGCACACATCGTCAAACATAGTCACCAACGAGCAGCTGTCCTTAGGGGAAAGTTTAACCACATATGAGAAATAATATATCCAAGCGTTTGGTAGTAACCCGATGTTGTAGGTGTTCCCATTAGCAGACATGGCACGGCACGACACAACACGGCACGAAACGACAAGACATGACACGACATGCCACGACATGACATGACATGATATGATATGATATGACACGTCATGACACGTCATGACACGACATGACATGACATGATATAATATGACACGTCATGACACGACATGATGCGCGTTCACGTGCACCGATAGCCGGGCAGCAGGAAACTTACCGAGTTCCTCCAATGTGTGCACGCCACGTTGCACTTCCTGTCATGCCATGCCGTGCCGTGCCGTGCCATGCCATGCCATGCCATGCCATGCCGTGCCATGCCGTGCCATCCCATGCCATGCCATTGCATTCCGTTCCGCGCCATGCCACATCGTGCCATGCCATGTCATAGTGTCATAATAGTCAAGAGAAGGGAAACAAGCCCAGCATTGGACAAAAATGACGAAGGTTCCAGACTTGGGAAAGAGGTGGCGCAGGGAAGGAGAGGGTGCAGCGTGATGAAGACTGCGGCTTGAAGGAAAATGCACAGAAATAATCGAATCCCAACCACGTCAACCCATCTAGTTCAAGTCACGCTGCCAAGCCACCCTTTCCAGGCCACATCATCATGCCACCCGTTCCATGCCATGTCATCATGCCACCCACCCGTTCCATACCACGTCATCAGGGCTTACGCTAGGCCTTAGTTTGTTTCGGAAGGTCCTGAATCTGGGTCCAGTGATACCCAGGATTTTCTGAATTCCAAGGAGTTTCACTCGGAATCCATCCGAGTTCTCAAAATGGTAACAAAGACCCGCCTGACTTCTACTCTAAAGTTTTAGGCACATGTGACGGAGCTATTAGAAAAACACGGCTAAGTCCTAAAAATTACTGGAATTTTCTCCAAGCAGTGGCACATGTAAGTTCTCCTCACAGAACGGCAGAATCCATGAAATCTGCACCCAGAAGCGATGAGGACTCCAAGGCTCATGCCCTCGTCCACATTCTGAGACTCTGCAAATCTCAAGCTTCTGAAATCCGGGCTGGGGTCCAAACAACTCTTCATTTCTCGACACTCAGGGTAGCTACCCTTCTCGCGTAAGCCCTGCACGTCATCATCCCACCATCCATCCCACCCACCTGCTCCATGCCACGTCACCATCCCACCCACCTGCTCCATGACGTGCCGTGTTCGTCGAAGCGTTGAAGTGACCTCCTCAGCTGCTGCCGCCATCTGTGCCGCTGACCTGATACAAGCACATGCGATACAAGCACACGGTACAAGCGTATGTGATACAAGCATGGGATACAAGCACATGCGACACAAGCACATGCAATACAAGCACACGTGATGCAAGCACATGCGATACAAGCACATGAGACACAAGCACATGCGATACAAGCACACATGGTGCAAGCGTTCGTCAGAACACATAGGGACGCATCATTCAATGGTTCTAAATTTAAATGTACAGGCAGGGTCACAGTTGCGCACAGAGACACACGTGCACACATGAGAGGACGTGAGAGGGTATGACGGGGTATGAGAGGGTATGAGAGGGTATGAGAGGGTATGAGAGGGTATGGGAGGGTATGAGAGGGTATGAGAGGGTATGGGAGGGTATGAGAGGGTATGAGAGGGTATGAGAGGGTATGGGAGGGTATGGGAGGGTATGGGAGGGTATGAGAGGGTATGAGAGAATATGAGAGGGAATGAGAGGGTATGAGGTATGAGAGGGCACGCACTCCAGTTTTCTTCGTCTCAACGATGCCTCTCGTCCTGCCCCTAGTAGCTCGTCCCTCTGACCACACATGTGCACATGCACACATGCACACATGCACACATGCACACATGCACACATGGACACATGCACGCATGGTCACATGCACACATAGGCACATGCACACATGGGCGCATGCACGCATGGTCACATGCACACATGGGCACATGCACACATAGACGCAAGCACACATAGCATAGACACATGCACACATCCATGTGTGAACAAATTTCACAAGCGTACACAAACACCACCTCCACCGCACAGCCAAAGTTCCCCCTCCTCTCCCTCCTCGCTTCCCCCCTTCACTTGCCAGACGAGTACAACACTCGCGCACACAAGTAGAGCAAAACACCAAGTCAGCCTAAATGGCTGGTTGGCGACTGAGCCCGCGGTATAAATGCAGTAATGAGCGCACGCTGCCCGTCAGGTACATCGCCCCGCACTACCCTACTCCGCCGTACATGGCATGGCTTCCCTCTCATTCCCTGCATCCACGCATGACGTGGGCAAGCACTGCGCACAGCCTCTGCTCTGCCCATGTGGGGGGTGTGCTCCTGTGGCGCCCCAAAAAAAGGTCCCAGCATGTAGGGCAGTGCACTGCAGCAACCCAATACCTCACTACACCTCACGACCCCACCCTCCTGCTGCCAATTTCCTCTCCGGCTACCAGCTCCCCCTCCTGCTAAGCTGCTACCAGCCCCCCCTCCTGCTACCAGCCCCCCCTCCTGCTACCAGCCCCCTCTCCTGCTACCAGCCCCCCCTCCTGCTACCAGCTCCTGCTACCCCGACCTGCTGCGTCCAGCCCCAGCCACCTTCTATCGCCACGCCACCTGTCCTGTGCCCCTTTCTCATCCCTCACCTCTTGCTGTGCTTGCCGCATGAGATTTTGCTGAGCTGTCAGGGTGACGTGGCGCAATCGCTGGCGGAGGCTGGTAGGAGTAACGAAGGAAGTATGAGTTTCCAGGGGGGGCAGGGGGGGCAGGGGCGCCCCCAGGTCGAGAGCGCGAGGGCGAGGCAACGGCGGAGAGACAGATGCCGATTGTGCAGGGAGGATAAGAGCAAGGAACGGCCAAGAGAAAGTGTGAGGCGGGGCAAAGAAGAGAGAGCGGAGGAGCAACGAAGTGAAGAGAGTGTGGTGATGCAATGGGGGCGCGGAGAGGGGGGGGAGGGGGGAGGGGGGGGGAGGGGATTTGAGAAAACGATAGAGAGCGGTGGAGCAAGGAAAGAGGGCCAAGAAAGAGGGAAGGGTGTGATAAGCAGAGATGGTTACTCTGGCTGCGCCTTGTGCAGCTGCTGCAGCGCTGACTGCACTCGCTGCCACACGGGCGCTCTGCAGGAGACGGTGGAGAAGGGGGGTGGGGGGGTGGGGGGGTAACCCAGGCGAGGGAGGAGGGCAGGAGTGCGGGGAGACACGGAAGAGAGGGGAGAGGGAGAGAGAGGTGCAAGATAAACACTTTCTCTCTCTGGCTGTGCCTCGTGCAGCTGCTGCAGCGCTGACTGCACTCGCTGCCACATGGGGACTCTGGGGGAGAGAGTGGGGGCGGGGAGAGGAGGGGAACGCAGGAGCGGGAGGAGGGCAGGGGGGGGGGACACAGGAGAGAAAGGAGAAAACGAGGGGGGGAGGGGGGGAGGGGGGGAGACAAAAACGGGAGAGGTAAGGAGGTGTGAGAAACCTGTGCCTAACGGAAGGGTAACCAGATAGCCAACCTTAGAGAGCAACCCGCATCTGCATCCCCATTCCCTCTCGCGCCTCCCCATCATCGCCTCCCCATCCCCACTCCCCTTCTCCCATATCCTCCTCCCCGTCCCCCCCCCCCCTTCGCCCCCCACTCCCCCCCCCCTTTTCCCTCCAAGCCCTCACCGATCGCCCTCATCCCCAGCCTGCCCCTGCGCGGTACTTCGGCTTCCCATTCCGCTTCTGCCACCCTCCCCGCGGATTCCCCACGCGCACTCGTTCCCCTCCGCCATCTCTTCCGCCAGCGACCGCAACTCCCGCTCGACTCCCCCCAGCGCGGCCAGCGCGTTCTGTGCGCCCGCCGTCAGCGCGGGGAGCTGCGCGCGCGTTGGGCCCCCGCGCGTGCCGCAGGCGGCGATGGATTTGATCTGATCGTCCGCGCGCGCAAGCAGCGCCTCCATCGCGTGGATCTGGCACAACGCTTCCGCCTCCGCCGTGTTCGGCTCGCCGAGGTCCCCCGCGGCGGAGGCGGTAGAGACCGCCATCGGGGGATGGGCGGGGATGGCGGGATTTTCCGACACTGACGAAAGGCTGCGGATTCGTTCGGATGTGTGCTGAATGCTACGGAAGTGACTGTTGCGGAGAATGAAATTGGAGAGCAGGGTTTTGGCTGTAATCTAGACTGGTGTAAGCTCGTACTCCATAGCAGATTCCATAGCAGTTACAGGTGAAGGTATTGAGTGCACACTCAGGTCTCCATATGCAGGCTGTGTACATACTAAGGCACAAGTCAAAACAAGACTACAAACCCTCCCAATAATCACAATTCAATATCCCTCCAAAATGAAAGTCACATGCTGGTTGATCATATGCGCATGCTTGACAACATAAAAATACTTCCAACGTACGTTACAAGGGCCAGGATTTGAATGGTATTTCACCATGATTACCCTTGCCAGCGCCGCTTTTTCAGGATTACCCTGATTTTGTAACGCCATTTTTTTATGTGACCCTTTGCCAAAAAGTGTAACGATTGTTTTACCCTGCTGTAGCAAGGGTTTTTTTTTCCCAACCCCAACCAGACAGGGTGTGCCGAAAAACACCATGATACAGAAACCTCCAAGCCCTCCAGATTTGACAACTGTCGAATCTGCCACGCGGGGGTTTCGTGCAGGCTGCCCCGACCACCGACCTCAGAAGAGCAGTGCTAGCACGCGAAACTTCTCGCGCAGGTTTGCGAAAAAAATCCAGCGGTGGCAGCAATGCTGCCAGCGACGCAACCACAGTCGCGACAGCGCACACTCTGCTAGACCAAGTAACAAACTCGGCCAATAGCTGGCAGCCGCATGCACCAACGCGGCATTGACCGCATCGAAAGGAGAGTCCTTTATGGCTTGTCCTAGTGAGCTTGCGGCTCGTTGGAGAGTTCAGAGGAGAGGGACGATGAACCCTCGTCCTCTCAATCCATTCTTTCCTCATCTAGCCCCTACTGTTAGAAAACAGCAACTCCACTTCTCTCGTTTTCATCCCACTCCATCTCTGAAACTCCACCTTGTTAGGATAACCAAGGTCCCAGTGGGAATACGCCGAGGATCGACAGGCCGTTACAGGGGCCAACCGCAAGCGCGCCTCGCACTGGACTCAGTAATGCCTCTGGGGAGCTCTGCCTCCTCGTCGTCCACCTAGTCCTCCTCTTTCCCTCCCCACCCATAGCGCCGAGGTGCCTCCCTCTCTCCTCCCCCCCCCCCCGACTTCAGCTGTTGAGGCAGAATATGCCGTTATCAAGAGTAGCTTCGGCAATGACTGGTCGAAGCGATTCCCGTGGCTCCAACTGCACCGTATGAAGAACGGGCGACTAGCGCTCAAGTGCGCCACATGTCTGAAGCACGCTAATCCAACCGCCAACACCAACTATGGAATAAAGGGTCGGAGCGGCCGGGATCTCCAGCTAGGCAGCATTCGGAGCCACATTGGTAAGAGGGCTCACAAGCGCGCGATCGAGGCGGAGGAGAAGGCGGAGAGAGAGAGGGCGTAATAGGTGACACTCTCCCACTGGCAGCGCACCGATGTGGGAACGCGCCATCTCATCAGGCTTCTACATGTGGCACTATTCATCTGCCGTGCCGACACTCCAATCACCTGCTTCGTGCCACTCTGCTGGTTCCTTGCATAAGAAGGCATGCCAGATCTCCCTCCAAGCTGTGGCTACGGCTCGTATTACACAAAGTGAGTGACTATGTGCTGTTTGCATTCACCCTCTTGAGAATCCCCGTTGTTTTCACTTTGCTTGTATTCTCTTACAGTACATGTATGTCGTGCTCAGAGGATACCTTCATTGCTGAATGGACGCGGTGTGCCCTCCCCTCCCCAGATATGGCTTCAAGGAGAGCATCCGCGATCTCTGGGCACATGCAGGAGCAACAGCAACGCCACATCCAAGCCTCTCCATACGTGGGCATCAGCATTGACGAATCGACCGACAGGATCCATGGAAAGCACCTCATTCTCTATGCCACCTTCTTCAAGGGCATGTGTGTCGTCACAGAGTTTGTGACCATACTGAACGTGGAGCGCACCGACGCAACTGCCCTCACGACAACCCAGGTTCACTATCTACAGTCCACCGGCATGGACCTACACAAAATCGCTGGAATTTTGAGGGACGGCGCCTCTGTGATGACGGGCGAGCGCAACAGCGTTGTCGCGCGCCTCCGTGCTCAGATTGAGCACCTCGTCCGCACGCACTACATCTCGCACTGGTGAGTCTTGTCATGGCACATTGCGATGCACTGTAGTATCTGTACTTAAACCCTTGAATTGTGACTTGCCCCTACTCAAAATTTTAACACCACGGTGTGTCTGCTTCTTGCAGAGAGGTGCTCGCTGCGAAGGACGCGGCTTCAGCGATTCCGAGCCTTTAGATGGTGGACCTGGTGATACGTGCGCTAGCTGACATCCTCGGCCGAAGCCATGTTTGGCACCAGTGCTTCATCAACTTGCAGTTGATCTTCTACCGCACCTCCTTGGAGCACCTCGCCATCCAACTCATCCGCTGGCTGTCGCACGGCGAAGCAGTGTCGTGGCTCGTCGATGTTCTTCTTGCAGCGGGCTTCTTGTTGCGGGAGCATCGAAGTTAGCTTTACGAGGTGGTCATCTCGTTTAAGTTCAACTTCATGGTTCGCTTTCTGGCGGACATTCTGGGCGAGCCGAAGAAGCTCAACCTGAGCTTCCAGCAACGCCAGGTATGTGGCTTTAACTATCCGCATTTGCACCATATGTTCAACCTTGGTCCCTTACGATCATTTGTACTAGCATCGTCCCCTGCAGCCCATTTACTCGCTGTGCGCACATGGATGTCACGCTGGTGACATACTTGGTAGCGCAGACGAAGTACGTCATCAAGGCCCAATACATCAGCAGCACCCCGGGGCATGTCTTCGGGCACGGGGATAAGCTCAAGCTGCCGGAGAGAGAGCTTCTGGCGGTTCTGTCACAAGCATTTTCTCATGCACGGCATCAACCAGTCGAATATCGTCTATGCAGATCAGACTCCCGTCTATCTCGAAATTCCGCAGGGGCGAACTCTGCACCACCGCGATGAGCGCTCCGTTCAGATTCGCACCGCGGGGTACGAAAAGGGGCAAATCACCATCATGCGTGGAGTCTCTGCCGATGGGAGGAAGCTCCCCCCGATGGTCATCTTCAAATGAAAGATGGTGCCCAACATCCGCGTTTTGTCAGGTAACCTATTTCTATTTCCTGTTCAGATTCTATTTTCCGTTTTGTGTTCTGTGTCTTTTTTCCATGTGTGATTGTCCGCGCTCAAGTGCAAGGCTGGATGGACTCCAACCTCGTGCAGGACTGGGTGCAGCACGTCTTGCTCCCCTACATCTCGTGGGAAGACCCTTCTCATCCTCGACTCGTACCGCGGTCATCTGACGGATTCTGTCCTCGGTCTCCTGAGGTGGAACTATATCGTCCCGCAATAATCCTGGGAGGCTGCACTCCTCTACTGCAGCCTCTCGACGTGAGTGTCAACCACAACTTCAAGGCTGCTCTGCACCGGTGCTACAGCAACTGGTTCACATCGGAGGGAATCGACACCTTCATGCCCGCTGTTGAGATTCCCTCCGTCCTGTTCACTGCATAACTCATGACAGACCCACTTGCCTTGAATGCTAACAATAACGCTATGCCCTGTTGTGTCCCCCTTGCAGGAAAACTCAGGAAGCTGCCCCCCAAGCTCGTCCTCAGGTGGAACGCGGATTCCTGGAATGAGGTCCCTGAGGACCTCATTGTCAGGTCCTTCCAAACCCGCGGCATGAGCAACGCACCTGGCGGGTCGGAGGACCACCTCGTGCTAACACACATGCGCGATACGGGCGCTGTCGGGGTGCACGACGAAGTCAACGCGGTGGGTGACGTAGAAGAGAGGGTGAACCCCTCTATGCGCATGGGCCGCAGGAGCAGGATGAGGATGAAGCCGCAAAAGTTGCTGACAGCGACGACGATGCCACGGCGGCGGATCTCGAAGCTGACAGTGCGCCAGAGACTGCTTCTGCTGACGATGAGGTTCAGGATGCTGTTGGACAGAGCTCTGGCTCTGTTGCAGAGGAGTGTGAGTAGGGTAGGAAAACAACTTTTGTAGAGATGTCGCATGCATGCCTCATATGTAGACGGGATAATCCCCTTTGACAAGGAAGTATAGCGGTATGCAGCGGTAGTTAGTCTATGATGTCTGGCATGTAACTCATTGTACCGTAGAAGTGCTTTAAAACTTGTTCATGGCTGCCAAGTGCAAGCCTTGTGTGAGAGTACGACCCCGGAACACTTGCTTTCATTCCATATTTCTCCACTATGTAAGTCTTCCTTTTATCCTGATTCATTTGGTCTTTATCTCATCTCATTTGGTTTCCTATTCCTCATTATCCATTATCATTTGGTTTATCCTGTTATTATCAATATATCACCTACCAGGCTCGGGATATACTGGCGCGCTATATCTAGCACAATCTTGACGTAATCCGTTCAAGCCAATAGCCTTGCGTGGCTATACACAGGCTGATTTTATTTCCAGAAGGGTTTATTCCCTTTGGATAGGATAAACCTGGTTACCCGATGTACCTTGTACATAAGAAAGCGTCTTGTATCGATCGATAGTGCAACTTTTCTCAACCAATTCGATCCTGTACACTTGGTATCAGAGTTTTTCTTACTCGGCCATGCTCAGCTAAGCAGCAGCAGCGGGAAAACCTGCATCGAAAAACTGCTGGGGGTTTGAATTTACCCCTCCGCGCGTGTTTTGAACATGATGGCGAACTTCGACAACATCGAAGTTACCCAACAGCTCCTCGTGCGCATCGCCGCCCTACAGGAGGAGATGTGAGCCGATCACGAAGCTTGACGAAACAAGTTCGACAGAGTAACGCGACTCTCCGGCGCACAGCACAAAACGACAACGACAACAATGCAGCAAACGCAACAGTTTTGCGAGGCTTCGAAGCCGCCCACCCGAGACGTTCGATCCGAGCAATCGAAATTCTGACGCCCGTAGATGGATCGCCAGCATGGAGATCTACTTCGCAGCCGTCGGATGGAGCTCGCCGGTCTGGGACGGTCAGCGCATGCGACTCACGG